TTTGAAATGGAGAACAGGAGCTCAAAATAACCCACATTATCTGCCAACTTTGAGAATTTGAGATACCATTATAGAAAAAGTAATTATCATGCATGGGAAATTGAAAAGTGGCATTGTGCCTTACAAAACACAATGAAATAACAGTAGAAAACCACCAGTTCAACAGAATAGGCACATAAACGGATGTTTATTTGTAGCAGGAACACAAATAAAATATACAATGTTTCTGCCAAAGGGCTTTAGTTATGTTTATTAAAAAAGTAATGAAAATCATGACATTTTTCATTTGTTAAAATACGTACCTAAATCTGAAATGGGTGTCTCAAATCAATAATGATGAACTACTAGCCACAACAGAATTAAAGTAACAGTCACAGGTGTGTTAGTATTAAAGGGACAGTATGAAAGGTACAGTCAGGGTTGTGTTAGTTTTAAAGGGACAGTATGAAAGGTACAGTCAAATTAACAATGTGAACAGAACTATCATGTTTGTGTTAGTATTAAAGGGACAGTGTTAAAGGGACAGTAATAGTTATAGTAGGCTTATTTTCGGGAGATGTCCTATTTCAGAGAAAAACAGTAGCAAGCATGTGCTAGAAAGCAGGTCTACATTCAGCAAAATTCCCATTGACCAGTTCACTAGGGCATGGAATCTTGTGAATCTATGTTCAGGGAAACTTTTAGCTAACTGGTGAATGGAATCCCGCAAATCTATGTGACTAGCGACAAGGGCATTTTTTCGGGGTAGGGCTTATATTACGAGAAGCCCTCGAAAATGAGCTAGGGCTTATTTTCAGTGGATGTCTTATTTTTGGGGAAACAGTGTAGATCTGGCAAGAGGGCTGCAGCCTTTAGCCATTCTTTTGAAAATTAAAATAGCAGGATGGTGAGATGAGGTGTCTTTTATTTGCATAATTCTGCAGGAAAAAGACAGCAGACAGGAATGGTGCATGGGATGGTGACTTGTACTCTGAATAATCTCCAGGCTTTGCTGATCCACTGATATATTTACTGATGAACTGTAGTATTGGCCATAGACCAGTAGATGGCTGAAATCCAGACATGACTCATTCGCTACAAATTGTAGCAAGTTGAAATCATAATGGCAAAATGAAAGCTAAAATAGCCCTACTGTGATTATTGCAGAGTTAGTACATTTTTTCTGATCAGTTTTCTTAATCAATGTTTTGCCATATGCATTTTTTGAGATACTATGTAATCGATAATGGCTTCTTTAAGTGCACTTGCACATGCATGGAGCAATCCAGAAGACACGTAGCGGTCATTTTGGAATCCCTTACTGTGAGCCATGCCACCAACAGGTGCCCACAAGCTAAAATAAAACTGGTAAACTTGTAGAAAAACAGGGTGCCTGGTAGTGGCGTACTATGGGGGGGGGGGGTGGTCCGCTCCAGGTTCCACTCACTAGGGGGGTGTCTGGGGCGCATTTTCATGCCGCTTGCAGGAGTCTCCACCTCCAGCAGCAGCATGTCCTCTGTTCTCATGATCCGCGAGAGCATTGCTATGGCAACCCGCAACAACGCTCTCTCGAGAACAGAGGACATGTTGCTGCTGGATATGGAGACTCCTGGGCCCTCTTTACTGGTCAACCATTCTGTGACACCAGACCACCAGGGAATGTAGTGTGTCCCTCCTCCCTGGACACAGGTAAGAGTCAGGGAGGGACACACACAAAACAGTACAATACAAACACTGGCCAAAGTTAGCATTCATAATGTTTTTTTTGCATCTTTAACATACAAAGAAATATAAATGCTAACTTTGGCCAGTGTTTGTGACTAAGTGGCTACTAAAAAAGACTGGACATACCCTATACTGAATACACTGGGTTGTCTACTTTTCAAACATATATGGTTTGATGGGGGTAAATTACATTGACCTGCTTCAAAAATGTTGCAAATAGGATATGGGTGCAATATGACCAGCAATGAAAAACTGGAATGCGCACCCTCCAAATAAGAGAACCTTGACACACCTATACATGAGTGGTATCACTGTACTCAGAAGATGTTGCTGAACACATATTGGGGTGTTCTTTGGCAGTAACCCTTAAAGTTCTCAGTACATGTATTCTTAAATTGCTATGTGTGTAAAAAAAAATCACCAATTATTATTATTATTATTTTTTTTAAATTTGCCATAGGTTGGTGGTAAAATGGTTGCATGAAAAGAGTCAAAATACCCCATGTTTAAACCTTAGGTTGTCTTCTTTAAAAAAATATATACATGTGAAGGGTTATTCAGGGATTCCTGACAGATATCAGTGTTACAATGTAACTTGTGTTCATTTTGAAATAAAAAAAATGGTTTTGAAATATCAAAGTGCTACTTGTACTTATAGCCCTATAACTTTCCAAAAAAAGCTGAGAACAAGTTAACATTGGGTATTTATAAACTCAGGACAAAACTTTGAAACTATTTAGCATGGGTGTTTTTTGGCGGTTGTAGATGCATAACAGATTTTGTGGGTCAAAGTTCGAAAAGTGTGTTTTTCAAAATTTTTTCATCATGTTTTATTAAAATGAGAGTAAATTATATGATATGATGAAAATAATGGTATCTTTAGAAAGACCATTTAATTGTGCGAAATGGTATATAATATGTGTGGGCACAATTAATGAGTAGGATAAAAGTTAAAGCTAAACATAAACACAGCAAAAATGTAAAAACAGCCCTGGCCCCAAACAGTAAGAAAATTGAAAAGTGGTCTGGTCACTAAGGGGTTAAAAATATTTCTCTTTTAATTTACTAGTTTCATGTGTAGTATATTCAAAATTAATGAAAATAATATAATTAAGATTACTGACTAAACAGTGATTTGAGGTGAACTGAAAACCTAATTTGTAAATTTTAGTTATTTCACAAACTGATTGTTTTGGCTTACCATCTGCAATTACAATGTTATTTTAGCATTTTACCAAAGTTTACAATATAGTAGCTGTTTATTCCATATGCAAGTATATAACTGATTAAATAGAAAACTGGTAAATTAGATGAGAAATGATTATGAATCCTGTACGTGGGGGGATTTCAGTGTTTCATATAAGGTGTAATATCACACTGTAAATACTTTTATAAGGCTTGTGTGTCTATATATATTTCTTGTGCAAACAGTTTATGTCTTGTGTGATCTAACTGATTCTACAAATCTATGTCTTATGAAAAGAAATCTGACTTGTTTTATGAAAATAGCTCTTGGCTGGAAACTAATAAATATGCTGTTTTTATACATCCAGTGTAAGCTGCTGGGGTGTGTGATTTACATATTGTTGATCACATATCCTCAGGCTGATAGCTTTACATTTGTTAGACTTGGTTACTTCAATGAAGCTGATATTTTTTCATCCCTAAGGCTGTGACTGCCTGCTTAGGAGAAAACAGATCTGGAAGTCATGCTGATATTACCTGTTTCGATGCTATACTGGTCTGCAATATGTAGAACACTGGGGAGAGCAGTTATGAATACCTGAACATAATGTAGTGGTCTGAAGGAGTAAAATAGGAGCAACCTACAGTATCTTCAGGCCAATGTAATGCTCATTAGTCCTGCAACGAAGCTAATTAAAACCGACATTTGAAGGGGGACCAGGAGAAACTAGTCTACAATGTGAATATGCATATGAGAATGATAATAAGCAGCCTTTTTACTTTAGGTTTATATTATCTTATATGTTTATATGTCTTATTAAAAAGAGAAAAGAGTTATTTATGAAATGATAATAAGAACATTAATTAATCTACAAATGACAGCTAAAGAATTAAAAAAAAAAAACATGTATGCGTCATGTAGAACCCAGCAAAGATATAGTATTGATGTTGAGGTCCTCTCTGCAGAGTGAAGTGTGGCATCCTTTGAAAGAGTTCCATCACATAGGTGAAGACATTTATATGTGTTCATGTAGACTCTTAAAACCCTAATTTAAAGGGACTCTATAGATACCAAAGCAACTTTAGCTTGATAAGGTTGTTTTGTTGTATAGACCATGCCCCTGCAGTCTCTCTGCTCAATTATTTGCCATTTAGGAGTTAAATTACTTTTGTTAATATAACCCTAGTCACACCTTCCTGCATGTGACTTGCACAGCTTTCCCATTGCCATTTAACCCTTTGATCTCTCCTCCGCCCGCAGAGCTGCCCAATGTGTGATCTAGGATCTAGGTATGATTTTTTTTGTATTGATTGTTTTTATTGCTGTATTACTTGATTTTGGTCCCTGAGGAAGTTTCTAACCATAGGAACGAAATGCGTAGGACCTATCCTTATTTGTTTTATCTTTTGTGGCTAATGTATATGGATTATTTTTTACAATAAATTTATACATTTATTTTACCTACACCTACCGGAGTCTCATTCCATACTTTGGTCCATTTGGATTTCCAGTGGAGGGTGGAGACGTTTAGCGGCCCAAGCTTATAGGGGCAGGCACCTTTTGGGCGCACTATTCATCTTGATCTCATGAGTGCATGAGCAGTTGTTTTACTGTATTACACTATGTGTATTTTTTTGTTCCTGTTTTAGATTGCATACAGCCGTATCTAATTTTCTTCTGTATTGATATATATTTTGTTAATATAACCCTAGTCACACCTTCCTGCATGTGATTTGCACAGCTTTACCATTGCCATTTAACCCTCAAATGCCTCACCATCTAACCCTGATCTGAGGTTTTGATCTCTCCTCCGCCTGCAGAGCTGCCCAATGTGTGATCTAGGATCCAAATAAAACAAACAGAACCTGTAAACAAACAAAAAATGGTTATTGAACCCCCGCACATCTACAGGAGGTGAGCATGAACATACAGCTGAAACCTATGGGTCCCCCAGAGACCCGGACATTGAATAGCGAAATCTGAAAGCACTTGAAACCTACTAGTCTGGGTTGCTGCCCCCAATGTGCACAAAGCTGCTTAGAACACACTAGAGAACTGAGAGCGCGTGAGCATCAAACCATTCTTATGAAGTAAGAAGGACTCCTCCAAGCTCAGATGAACCCTCTAATAACAATCAACCAGAAAGTACCCAAAGTAGCACCAACATCACTTCCTGCACACCTGGAAGAGAAGGGCACAGACTGCGCAATCTCACCGTCAATCCGGCACCATCTTGGAGAGCCGAGCCGCTATTTTGGGAAACAGCTCCACAATCTTGTAGAGCAGGTCCAAACCTGAATCCCCTACATCTGGTACCTCTGCCTCTGTCTTGTCATGGAGATGTCCCAGATCCGCCAACCGTGAACCAGTCTCGCACGGTCCCGGACTTCACAGAGTCAACAAAACTGCCCTGAATCACCGCACTGGACTGGGTGAAAGCCTAGATTGAGGCTTGGAATGATGGGCCCATCTGCCAACATGTGAGGAAGCCATGTCTAAAGAAGCTGTCCTATAGGTATATATGGCCTACCTGGACTTGTGAGAAGAACAATCCATTGTTAGGAAAGTGATAACTATTAATTATTATTATTTTGTACTGTATTTAAAAGAAACCTACCACAGGAAAATGCACCACCAGGATCGATCCACTGTACTCGGCTTTGGTCTGGGAAGTTTTCCCAAGATTCCCTGGTTCCTAGTCCCAGACACAACATTGTAACCAATTTGGTTACCATGCCAATCAGTCCTGGCAGCAGTCATGTTTCCCCCTCCTTATTCACTCCGGGAGTGAATAAAAAGTGGAAGTAAAAAAGTTATGCATGCAATGCTGTAAAATAGTATTCAAATCTATTTCTGTTGTCATTAAGCTCAAACACGATTCAATAAATGATGGCAAATCAAAATTAGACAAACAAGGGAACCCTCTGCAAGGCAATTGTATAAAGTGGCACAATGTGTTCCAATCGGTTAAAAGTGACAGCTCATGCATGACTCACATTTGATTAAAAAAAAAAAGTAAATTAAATAAACTGTATAATATATAATATGCAAAAATATTCAGTTGCCCATATTCTAAGCCATAGTTTATTTGGCTGGCAAAGTTACTTACTGTTGTGAAACCATTCGAAAGACAATGTTGGAAACAATGGAGATTTGAACAAAGGACGAAATGTTAATGAATTTCCTCTTGATATTTTATTATTTTTGTTCTTGCATTTTTTTTCCAAATCTATACATTATATTAAATGCATTAAAAATGAAAAGGTCAAATTCAACTTGGAGAGTCCGGATAATTCTTAAAATATGTATTTAACAGTTGTCTATATAAGTTGTTGTTATAACCTTTAAAATACTGGAAAATTAGTGAAAGCTGAACAAGTTATGACTGTTTTCTATATGCGTCCAGAGAGGCTTCGTATAGCACATTAGCACATTCTAACCCAAGCCCTAATAGCATTAAATGTTTACATACCTTTCATAGATTCATAAAAACAGGTCAATAAACTACTCATAAAATCTTTTCTCACTGCTCATAACTTCATGCCTGCAGAGAAAATATTACATCTATAAGAAGCATAAGTGAATCTAGATTTAAAAAGGGTGAAAGAAACACAACTGAAATATTTTTTTTTTATATTGCAGATAAAGAAAAGCCAAAAACCTCTAATCCTGTTTCAGTCCTTCACATTTTAGAATTGGAGTTTCTCGTAATACATTTTTTTTATTGGACTAACAGAAATTTGTAAAATAAATGTATTAAATGAGTTAGACTTGATGAAGGGAGGAATGATTTACCAAATGCTTGATAAATGGAGGAATTCCTGAAATCTAGTCACTACAAATTTCTGTTAACCCAATTAAAAAAAAAAGGTGTTACAAGAAACTGCAATACTTAATTTTTTTGCCTCTCTCCTACTGGACTAATAGTGCAACTCAAATATATTGACTTCACTTTCTAGCCAGATCAGAATTTGTAAAACATATGACATTTCAATTCACAGCAAGAAACTGTACAGGTGTCGTTAGAGTGCAGAATAAGAACAGTGTCCAAATCCCCCCCCCCCAAAAAAAAATCTACAGTAAGAAAAAAATATTGAATAAATATATATGAAATATATATATGAAAAATGTAATTGCTTGTCTTGTTATAAAAATTCTTATTTGAAATGGCATAAATCAAATTCACAATCCTCATCACCCAGAGTTAGTGTTTTCAGTTAAAAATTCTATTGTATTTCAATCTTACTTTCTTAAAAATATATTACAATCTCCAGTCTTTTAACATGAGCTGTTGTATATTAAGGGCAAAGATTGTGCCTTGCCTGGTGTACTTTCAGGAACTCAAAGTGAATTTCAAAAATGGGCCAAAATATCCAAAAGTAAAAACCTACTTGACTTGCAGATTTGTTTTTCAATTTAGGGACTTTGCCTCAAAATGTGAAATTCGCTTTGAATCCATGACAATTGACACTTTGACTGTATTTATTTGTGTTTTGTTATGAACTGCAGTTCATCCTAATTTGAAGAGATCAGGTGATTGTACAATTCCAGAACTCTGACCCAAAATGTAGCTGAATAACCGATAGACGAATTGAGTGTTTTGATTTGTGATTTGAGATTTCACCCTTGGCTCCCAAAAAAAGAGATGATTGAAGGTTAAAAAAAAAGGTGATTAATTGCTAGGAGACAGCTACTAAAGGTTAATTTTATTCACAGATCAAGTGAGAAGTGACCAAGAGAGGGAAAAAAGGTGAAGTAAAAAAATATTTAAAAAAATAATAATAACAATATATATATATATATATATATATATATATAGGTGAACGCTTGGCACTCACCTCCAAAAAAATATAAATCGATCTTGAAAAAGACCCGGCAGGGTCGAAACGTCGATTGATTTTTTTGTACATCACAGATGATTTATTAAAGCACCAGTTTTCCTATTAACCAGAAGACCTGTGAGTGCATTTTGATTTTTATTTTTGTTTATATATATATATATATATATATATTTATCTATATGTTTCAGTGACTTCATTTGTTGTGCCCTTTTGGTTCTTCTGATTAATTTTCCCGAATCTTTTTTTTGTTACAATTTAAATGAGCTGAAACACGGTATTTACGAAATTCGGCCGCTCAAAATTTTTATTTTATTTGCAGACAAAGTGGTTTCCCCAAAGTATTTTATAAACTGCCTGCATGAAATTCTTAATTCTCTGCAGCGTAGTCTTTGTCTTAGTCACTGCAATAATGCAATGCTTTTTTCACTAAGCATTAAAATCAACTAGTGTCCCTTGCACATAAAATCTGTTGCACATATTGCTGCACCTGACAGGTTTAATATTTGTTTTAAGTATTAGCTCTACAGAGAAGTAGTCAAAGTAAAAAGAGAAATCAGGGGTGAGTTTTAAAGGCTTCTTTGAAACTTTGGACTGGAAAATATATTTTGTCAACAATTAAATCCATATGTGGTGTTTGAGCCCTTTTTTGTCAGACATTATTTAGCAAAAAATAAATTTTTACTATATATTGCTTCAGAATATGTTTCCACTTTACAATTCATATTACCAGTAGGTGGTGTAGCTAGTAAGTCACAGGCATAAATTGCACACTCTAATAATGCCCTTGATTGACTCTTGGTTGCTAAATTCAGAGGTTCAAGAAGATTATTACAGAAAGCGTTTCACAGTATGACATGTTGTACTCTAAATTCTTGATGAAAACATAAGAAATTTCAAGCAGTGTGAGCTTAAATTGCTGCGGGCAAATGAAAAAAATCTAATAAATGAACACAATTGAACAAACTATCATATGTAAAAAAGGATAAATGCAGTTGGACAATTCCAACATTGGGCGATGAAAACATAAAAAATTATAAATCCCTTGCCTTACGTGTGATAATCATGTTTATTCTGTAAACAGTGCTTATTCTATAAAAAAAACATCAACTATAACATGAATAAAACTGTCACAATATATTTAGGATAGGGTCTTTTAATGTAAATTGTCAAATGTTAATGATCTCATCTTACAGCAAAATATGCAGTTTAGGGAATTAACTCCCTGAGCTAATTTCCGTTATAACAATTGATAATAAAATCTGGTGATGATAATGTAATTTTGTTATAACGAATTGAACATTTACTCCTGAGTGGTGTATTAAAAAGGGGGGGGGTGGATAATAGTAATAAGTAGATGGTGAGAGTTCAGGTAATAATGCTTCAGATCGAGTATATCTAATACCTGTTTAATATTCAGTGTTGCAGGACACATTCAAACATCCATTGTTCCAAAGATATTACATTGTGTACCGGTGAGTTGGACAGCACTCATCTATATATCTCATTATATTATATGCAGATTAGAAGACTGCTAAAAGTGAATGTATTTTACCAGATTAAATCATAGTAATAAAAAGTTTTTTTATAAAGATGCTTCAATAACTAGATCGATGCAAGCTGCTGTGGAAACCATAAAAAGCAGTGAAAAACTAGATAGATAATTACATTTTCTCAGGAATAATATAAAGGCTTCACAAGCAAGATTAGCTTGCAGGGCAAAAGAAGTGACTAAAATAGCAATGATAATCTGATAGGGTTAGAAAACCTAGTAACGATTACATATCACTCTTTTGTAAAGCATACTTAATAGAAATTTTGTTTAAAATTATGGAAATGATGAGATAATACATAATTTGTGTAATTGTACATTTTGGGCAAATGTTCTTTTAGAAATGGTTCTGCTCTCCTCCAGTCTGGAAACTGAGGCTGATACATACCAATAGAGCATGCACAAGCACAATGAGTATGGGGAATTGTGCTTCCAATCATTCGGGGTGCTGAATTCAGTAATAAAAACACATAAAATGTGATCTTTCTTTTTGAACACAATATGAAGTAGTACACTCTATTACATCTCCCGGGAGCTAAGTTGGGTGTAACTGGCCCCAAATTAATTCATATTATTCATGTGGATTGAGTCAGGTCCATCTCTGATGAACCTGACTCAATCCACAATGGTGTTTCTGAGTCAATATTTATGACATTTTATTAAATAATGTCTGTCTGATGGCCAGATCGATAGACAAAAGTCAAGCTATCTCCATGTAGACAGAGACTACAAAACATCTAGTGATAAAAACATTATAGTTGTTCAGAAACAAAAAAGGAATGTTTTTGCCTACTGACATACTTTACAAGCAATGTTTGTAAGTACTGTAATCATACATTATGAGGGTACTTGAGATGTGGTAAATGAGTCTGCCTGTCTAGGGAAATGCAAAGCAGATGCTGGACATAAGGACATTCCGATAAAAATGTAAAGGATGAGACTAGATAAAGAGCAGTGAAGGGTACCTGCATTTGTATTTATACAGAGCATCTAGAATCTTTAGGTTGCATCTGCAACCATGGCT